TTTTTTCATTACACTGTAGAATACCGTGACTTACGTATCTAATGTCGAAGAGTGTGTCACACCAATTCATTCGAGTTTCAGAAAGAAATCCAGCAGATGTGTGGAAAAGGCCTTGAAGCTGCTTTCCAGGGGGATCCATTTAAGAGTGAGGCTCAAATTAAAATAAGAAAATGTGTTTTCCTAAGAGGGGATGCTTTGAATTAGCGGACATGTGTATATATTTTGAAAGCACAATTAGTTTGAAGGCTCCACCGACCTTCTTCCTTCAAGTCTTCCTTGCATTGACCTTGTTTTTTTAATATACGCTGTGGCCTATATTCCCATTGGAAACCTTGTTTTATATTCTTAACAAACATATTTAAAACAGAATGTGATTGAACGTGTCTGGTCAGGATTGGCTAGAGGCACCGTGTAGTTCTGCGGTCAGCCAAGGTGTCCAAACGAGCTTTGAAGCAAATGATTTCATCCGACTTTTGTTAAAGACGGTTACCTAACATGTATTTTAATATCATTGCCTCAGGCGAGTCTCTGTATGTGTGTGAGCTGTGTGTGTTGTTTCTGCTGGTCTCCTGTTTCCGGCAGGTTTCGATTCCATCGTATTGCGCTGCAGCAAATCCATTTAAAATGTTTGTTTTTTTAGCAACAATATGAGGTCATGTAAGCTTCCTTGGGTCCACAGCAAAGTCCGCCAAAGTCTGATATCCAGCGAATGGTTGTCTAGAAACTCGTCGAACAAACACACAGAGATTTCTGGATTTATAGATCGATAAATCACCTCCTTTGTTTTGTTGAAACACAGGGATATGGAGCCTTTTTATACGTGGGGTTGGTGTATTTTACACAGTTGGACAAATGGGACAAACATGACCAACATAAAAGCAAGGCAGGCCTGACAAATGGCCCTGTCTTTGTTTAATGGCCTGGTTAAATCGGGATATGGAAGACCCCGTTTTGATGCGGTGTCAGTGAATGTTTCTCTATTAAACCTTCTGATTTCCATACAGAGTGACGCTCAAACACTGCTTCTGTGATCATGTGCCAAAACACGACAACTGACAGATAACAGCTTCCATTTCTCCTGCTCACACACTCAGGGACTGTGACTGTGGAATTAACCCCCCCCACTCTTCACTGTCTGGTCATGTGTAATACAGCAGCAGAACGTTGCGTATGCTTGATGTGCCTGTAGCTTGAAGAGCTGCTGGAGTTGTTGTTATCACTCAGCAGATTGGCCAATTCCCTCACCAATTGTGATCCAGCAGAATGGAAATCTGGTGAGCAGGGAAATGTTAATCGAGCTCAATTAGGCTTTGCACCATGTTTGTTGACTGCCAACTGAATATGCAGAATCCCAACCCTCACTTACTGACATGAACCCTCCATCAAAAGTCTGAAACAGGACAATATGAGGATTGGTGGAAGATAACGGATATTGGCGTTGAGAAGCTCCTCTTGGCGGTTTTAGATAAACCCAGGAAACCCTTTGAAATTGTTAACTTCTCATTGGGTGTTCCAACCGATGCACATGTTTTCAAAAGGACAATTTCACTTTCTTTATCAGGTTTTTTCTTCTTCTTTTATCAGATGCGTGCTAACATGTATGTAATTGAATTATTCAGTTCAAAGATTTCAGTAGCCACATGAGCTATCTGATGTTTCAACAATCAGTGCAGGAGACATTTTTTTTGAAGATAAGGAGCCAGTCTATAGTACTCAGACTGTTATACGCTATGTTTTCTGCAGGAGAGGGGAATAAATTCAACTGTAAAGAAAGAGTGAAACGACAGAGCCGGACTGTCGGATGTTTGGCAGCGTTGCACTGACTGTGCTTTTTTCTTTTTTTTTTTTTGCCGGTCCCAAATCCAGTCTGGGCGGCCAAACCGAAAAAGCACTTGTGAGTAAATTTGTCCCTTTCTTTTCTGTCTGTGCTGGCAGAATATGTTAAGGTTGCAAAAAAAACTGATTTATTGGTCGGCTGGTGGGGGCATTTGAAAGTGAGGATGCTTTCTGATATTTATTTATTCAGTCAAGCATTCAGATCATTTATTAATCTAAGAATGAAGGTGATTCTGACTGATGTATGACATGATTAGATACAGGAATTCTTTAATTATTGAAGTCTTTATCTGGAAGGAAACCACAACAGTCAAATGAATCAAATCAGATTACCAGTGAGTAAGATCCTGCGCTGTATCGTTTAAACAAATGTTTGAATCTTACGAGCTCATGCTCCATGCTCTCTTTTTCCATACTAATCTTGTTCTCTGTTTGATCCTCCGCCTGCCTCTGTAACCTTTTGCACTCCCCGCCCCCCCGCTGTTTTTTTTATTAGTTGTACGAGTAAAAACACTCGAGAGTCTCAATTAGGACACATGATTAGAAGTGAAACCATCTCGGCTGTCGTTGTCTCACCTTGAGCCTTCAAGTTATTATCATCCACCAACTAATTAGCAAGTTGCAGATAAGCGAGGGGGGGTAGACCCTTTCTGTTGCCACAGCAACAGGAAGACATAATCACAATGAAAGCAGTGCAGCGTCGAGTAGCATAAACAGCCCACTCCAGCGTTTGTATTTGCTTAATTTGGTTTCTGGTGAATCACTCTTTGTACCTCGGTTTTTCTTTTTCATTGTGTTGCTTCAGGGCCTCTTAACTTAGGATATCAAAGAGCGATGGAGAGGGTGACGTCAAAGTGTTTGAGCAATGTTTTCAACGGTCAGAGTTGTCAGTTTAGGATTTGTATGAGGGGCCAGAGCTGCAGGTGTCTTTCATATCTGCTGGACAGTTGAGTCACAGGGCTCGTGCATCAGGAGGAAACATTCAACATGATGGTATCGTATCGATGCTCCGACCAGATTTTGTGCCAATGCCACATTTTAAGCTGCATCACAGGCCGGTACAGACATATTTGTATATATTGAGCGCTCTTGAAGTGTAGAATTTGCTCTTTCAGCCTCAGTGATGGATCACAATATTTGAATATTGAACTTTGCTCTTTGATTCTGATGGATGGTCTCAAAGTCTGTCACTGTGAGTGTTTGCTAACTGATGGATCTTTGGCTATTAAACTCCACTGCAGCTGCCCTGGAAGTTTCTCAATGTGACATTATGTCGTCCTCATCTTTCACTGTTCAAGTGATTGAGAGTCGGCTTTTCCCTTTTTTTTTTCATCTTTTACTCCAGCTCAAGCACCCAACGGCGCTGTCACCGCTGCGCACAGCACGACCCTTACTGTGCCACATAATACAATACAATAACGTAAATCAGCACGGTGAAATCAATTCCCAACCCAACACGCCCCTCCCCGTAACCCCCCAACAACTGCGGCACACAGTGCACCTCGCTGATTGGCGGCCGACTTGCTTCTTTGGTAAATAAAACATTTATGGAGGCTCAATTAGCGAAGCCTGTTGAGTCTGCGACAGCTGTGCTCGCCAGCTGTTTTTTAAAGGAAGAGTGGTGCAGCGAGGTGAAGCGGGGGAAAAGAAGGTGTCAGGAACAGGAAGGGAAAACAGGATGAGAGAAGATGAGGCAGGCAGAGAGCTTGTTTTTTGATTTGGTGAAAAGCCAATTTAGGTGTCAAAATTCAAGATATGTTTCTGTGGGAATTTCTTAAAAAGCCAGAGACAAATACATCAATCTATTAGATTATCCGTAAAAGATATCAGCACTGAAGAACTTACTTTGGTTTGCTCTGGAGAATGAAAATGGTTATTTACCCCGGTTAGATTGTTCCAGGGTTAGAAGCTAGAAGTGACCATATTGGGATTTTTAGTGAGGAACTCTATCATCAGCTTTTGTCACCAACTGGATTGACCGACTCGGCAGACGGGTAGTGATGGAGCTGGACACACCGCAAAAACTAGGTCGCTCACTGACGGTCCATCTAGGACGGACAGCCGACGATCTCCTTGGTGTCTCAGGGCCTTAAGGATACAGGACACAGCTCACTTAAAAGTTGTATCCTTCCCATGTCTGGTTGAACTTCTTTAACTGAAGCAACACACCAAAATGTGTTACTTGGTCGATACAGGTTGTTGCTTTCTGATGCCTCTGTCTTTCCACACTACTCGCCGTGTGAGAGAAGGTCAATCAGCAGCTTCAGGAGTCGGTGTATTCTTTTGTGAGCTCTGATTGGTCAGCCAGAACTTGATAACGATTAAGTATCAATTTAAACTTTGGTGTTCTTATGAATGTTGAATCGAAAACACATAAAGTGCAATCATAGTCCATTCTTCTCTTAGTTTTTTTCACTGACAGTTGGTGGGCTTCATTAGCGAATGCAGTCTGGCAATATGGGGGGGGAACGGGGGTGGGGTCGTCTTTTGATGAAGTGGCAGGAAACCCTCATCTGAAACATTAACATAAAGTCTGATAACTTTGGGAAATGATCGCAGAGTAACACAGGATCTTATTTTCTCTGTGAAAATGGAAATGAGGTCGTCAGCGGCGCCATAAAAAAAACGGTTTTAACGGGGGCTTAAACACAGTTTGTTTTCGATAGACTCCGTTCATGAATTCGAAGGTGACACTAGAGTCAATATAAAAAGAGTAATGTTTGCAGAATAAGGGCAGAGCGGATAGGGAACAATGATTGAATGCAACATTTTATATGCTGGGAGTTAAAAGACGATGATAACGACACAGATTGTGCAACACATCGACACATTTTTAGGACTTGCCATCAGTGGTTTTTCTTACTTATTTCGACACACTCAGAAAGACACGAGATTGAGGTGTGAACCAATAGCCTGATTTGGTTTGTGGGTTATCGAGTAACAAAAAGAAAAGGAGGCTTAGAGCTCAGTGCTGCATGAAGGAAAAAGAGCAACTTGATTGATTGTGATACAAGCGTCGCTGGCAAAGAACACAAACCGACACTCTGATGAACGCTGAAAGTGGTCCTGTCCCGCTCGCCACAAACCCTTTTCATGATTACAAATCTACTTTTAGTGACGCCCTGCCTAATTCTCCCTTCCTCTGTCCTTTTTGTTTCTTCCAGTGGAAGGCTGCACGGATTGGTCGGTGGACTACCTGAAATACAAGGTGCTTCTGGGGGAACCTGTACGGATTAAGTGTGCTTTATTCTATGGATATATCCGGGCCAACTACACCCATGCGCAGGCTGCGGGACTCAGCCTCATGTGGTACAAAAGTGCGGGACACGGGGACTTTGAGGAACCCATTAGTTTTGATGGCACACGGATGAGCAAGGAGGAGGACGCCATCTGGTTTCGCCCGGCCGAGTTGGACGACGTCGGGTACTACTCCTGCGTGTTAAGGTAAGCTCCTGGAGACATTCTGTGAATCGCTCTCGTCATTGCTATCAAATGTAAACAGATGTTTTCATTGTCTTTGGCTTACAATCTCATCCTCCTTTTTTGAACGTGTTCTCCCAGCAGTGTGGGGGTTGATAGCATTTTCTGGCGCCCTTTGGGCCCCCGTGAAGCGATGTTAAAGTCATCCCCTGCCGATCTCTAATCGAGTCCCTCATCTCTGGCCAAAACAGCAGCGGTCCCTGCTCCACAGAGCATCATCTAACAGTGCGAGGCCCCCTTGGCATCGCTTGATATGCTAAATTATTTCTTTATTCTCCTCTAGGGGACAGTTAGCCATTAGGTGCAATTGGTAAATCCATAAGTCCTTGGCCCTCACAAGTCCGTCTTTCTGAAAACTGAGTGAGATGAAAGAGAGTGGACGGGGAGATTGAGGAAAGTAAAAAGGCAGCTGAGATAAAAAGAGCTCTCTTCTTCTTTCTTTTTTTTCCTTTTCCTCTTCCCTGATGTTTGAGGTGGACAGTTGTTTGATTCATGAGTTCTATAATGTGGTGACGTTTCTACTTTCTGTACTCACATTGGTGGAAGTTTCCATTCACCTGGAGGTTGTTGGTGGGCAGTCAGAAAGAAAAAAGCAAAGCTGATAAATTTGAGCCTACACATTTTGACCGCACTGTTCCAGCGTTTTGTTCCACTGACAAAAGCAAACAGGTGAATAATGCGCTCTTGAGCTGCTACATTCAACATGGGGATCCCTGTATTCCACTTCTTTTAGCCATTACTATTCATCACCATTAGCATTCCCCACCTTTTGCAATGGCGGCCGCCATGAATAGAAACGGGCTGCAACAGTCCCAACAATTCTCATGGCTCCATTCAGCGGGCGTTGGCAGCATTTTTCCTGGAGGTAGACAATCAGTTCGGCGCAGAGTTATTGTGTAATCACGCAGAAAGTAGAGCCATGAGATTTGATTTGGACGAGCTGTGTTGCTTTGTCGCCAGCCTCGGCCATTCAGAACCAAATTAAGGGGCAACACTTATTTACCCATCATGGCGAGACATGACAATAGTCTCGACAATAGTCTTTTCCACCGCTCACAATTTCTCCCTGCAGACATTTCTTTAGACTATTGTTGTTCATAGACGCTTTGTGCAGGTCTCCACTGTGTTTACACATTGACCCAGTACTAGATCGTTCACTTTTAACGTATCAGTGTATGGAATATTTACAACTCTGACTTCAATTCAGCGCCAGCGTTGACGCTACAATCAGCGCCGCTGATTCTAATTGTTAATCAAAGCGTCTTCTCCTGTGGGCATTCTGACCTGCAGACACATGATACACTGATTAGCTGAAGCACAGTGACTCGATATTCCCACGAGCCCCTGATGTGATTGATGAGGAACCAGTGGTGAAACCAAGACCAAAACGCAGTAATGTACACACTCGCTTTAATTATCTATTATTTAGGAAGGGAAGAAAAACAAAACACGTCCCAAGACGGCATCAAACAGATTGTCCAATGTTTTTGTTCAACAGTCTGTCAAGAAATTTCAAATCATACTAAACGGAGAGAAGACAAACTTCGTAATGTCAAATCAAAGCACCGTAGACTCAGAAGTACTAATAATTCAATCTGTATGCTGTGGCTGGGCATGAGCTTGTTGAAAGTGCGAAGTCAGGTTTAAAATCTGTGTGTTTCTCAAGTTATTAAGAAGAGTGTTTCAGCTTCCAAGTGAACAAGTCCACCCACCAAACAAAACACACAAGCCTGTAAGTGAACACGTTCCATTTACTTTCCTTGAAGATGAATCCTCCGACTGCGTTCATTTAACACTGCGAAGCACAAATAATAAGCGGGGAAACATTCATTTGTCACGAGGTGTTTACTGTCAACTCTTGCAACAGTTGAGTTGAATACAAAAAAAAAAAGGCAGAATAATGTGCCCGGTTGCACATGCTTTATTATATCGTAATAACTTATTAACCTTGTAGGTAAAGGGCGTTTTCTCTCCACTGGCTCATTAGTCAGATCTGTACAGCGGCATGAGGTGGCTTTTAACGGGGGGGGGGGGGGTTGTTTAAAGGCTTGGGAGGATTAGGTTATTGGTCACTGTGAGTGTGTGTGTGTGTGTGTGTCATATGACCGCACGGGACCATCAAATCAGAATGATTTATGGTCCTGTATTTGCATATACTCAGAGTTCTGTTGAGTGGAGTCAGAATAACAAAAGGGCGGCTCAGTCCAGATGACTGACACAGCAGCGGTTTCAAGTAGACACCGCTTGGATGGCTCTCTCTTTCCAGGCTTGAACCCTGAATCCATAAATGGTAGAGAATGTCCTCAAATTAAATAAATGTCAGATAACAGAATCAACGGCAGGGGGTTAAAGAGAGCCACTTCAAAGTACAGTTATGTGTGAGTGCTCACACTCAAACCCTTCGCTTTAAGAGACCCGGCTACTAACCGTTAAACGGCCACAGTGCAACATTCTCCTCATTTTTTTTTCTCGCCTGAGTGTTCAAAAATTGCAGCGGCGGATTCATCCAATTCTCCCAAAACACACAGCAGCGCGTCGACCTGCTACGCCGCCGTGACTCATTTCAATTTGCCGCCGCCGCAGCCAAATCAGAGGACTTGCTCTTGTCTTTTGTCTCAGCAGCGTGGGTCCTATAGATGATCAGCATATGTTCAACATATCACATTTGGATTAGAATCCTGGCAGTGTTTTTTTTTTTTCATAACTGGAGTATTCCCACCCCTTTGATACATGAAGGGACCCGGGGAATTAGAGCTCTCAGCGGTGGAACGAATGAATCACGGCACAACAATAAATCATCTCTCAGTGGATACATTTCATACTCGAGCGTGTTGGAACAATTCGGTCTCGCTTACAATGGGGCTGCCATGATGTTATTGTCACTGAACAAGTATTGATAGAGCCTTGTGTATCCAAGAATGTGGAACTCCTGGTCCCTTGAGAACACATATTGTGGTGTTGAGTGTAGATGTAGGACACCTGAAGCGAAACAAAAAAGTCTCTTCCTCAGGGAAAGCTGACCTCTCCTGATTGCAGATCTGTGCCTACATGAACCAGGATGCATTGCATTCGAGCAGCGACAGCCTCTGCCTTGCTCTGCTGCACTTCTTCAAGCTGCAACAAATAATTAGGGTGAAAGTCTGACTAAGCCAAAACTCTACATAAATTCTATCCTTGTCCACGAAAAACCTCCGCACAGATATTTTGGGATGCAAAAGCTGCTGATTGTGGTGAAGTGAAGTTCCCTGGCGCCTCTCCAGCTACCAGAACAACTTCCATATTTTGGACCCGGACCTTGAGCCGGCGACCCGTCCAGTTCCCAACCCAGACTGAGCTAATGATGGGACGTGATGACGGCGACAGAACAACAGATTGTGCAGTTGCACAGACAAAGCACATCTGCAACATTGCATGTGCTTCCCCCCCACATCCCTGTCTGTGATCACTGGAGTAACATCCTAATGATTATCATGTGTGATAATCCGCTGTTCATCTCCCTCCACTGGCTCCCAGTTACTGCTCGCTTCAAATTTAACACCCCTGCTGCTCGCTTGCAAAACAGCGATGAAAACGCCTCCTCCTTACTTCACCTCTCTCCTCCAGGTCTGCACTCCCTCCTGCTCACTACGCTCTGCCATTGAAAGGTATCTGAGCCAACCTTCACAACAGGGCTCCAAGTCTCTTCCCCTCTGTCGCCCCTGGTGGTTGAACGAACACTTTGCACCTTTAAGTAAAAGCTAAAGACCCAGCTCTTTATGAATATACGCTTAATGATATTGATTATGGATGAAGGTAATGATGATGAAGATGATATTATTTTGATGCTGATTAGATCTCTCACTAATCTTGTGCTTTGCCTCTGGTCACTTCCTGTCAGCACCTGTGTGTCCAATCAGACTTTAAGCTGCACTTACTGACATTGTTTCCTCTTTTCTAGATCCTTGCTTGTGTTGTAAGTCACTTTGGAAAAGCGTCTGCTAAAGCTCCTTTGGTGTAAGTGGTTATAAAGTCGGTCTGAGCTGTCTTGACTCGGTCTTTTTCTCTTCTTGATGTGGACTAACATTGTCAGAAAGCTATCAAGTGTTCTCTGTCCAGCACTAAACCGAAAGCAGCAATAACGGTAGAAGAAAGTAAAGTTGGAGGGGACTCCTGGGGGGGGGGGGAATAAGACCCCGCTCACACAACAGCTACTGTCACCTTGTCTGAACTGACTGCAGCGTTGATAGTTGGACGCAGGCTCTCTGTCGTGCACGTCTTTACCTGCTCGCTTTTGGTGAACGTTTAGCATGCTACCTCATTATGCTAACCCAGCTAATGTAATGCCTTTTTTTTATCAAAGCACATGATACAAACCCGCTGCACCCACAAGGGCATCTGCAGCCAAAAGCGCCTTTTTGTTTCTGCTTCATTGTTAATTTTCTTCTTGCTAATGTCCACCAGGAGCAGGATGTGAAACAACAGAGGAAGAGATTGTGTCTGCCAGTTGTCTGTCACAGGTGTTACTGCCCTGGGCAGAGCTTAAGACACACACACACACACATCAGAGTGTCCTCCGCCAGTAAACACACACCGCTGCAGGATTATTGGCCATTCTGTGCTGTTGTTTTTTTTTTACTGCCGTCAAACTTGGAGGCCACTGTGTTATTGTTTGGCGAAATTGTGTTTTTTCCAAGTTTGTCTTTCCAAGGAAACTTGGATTCAGAAAATAAGCAGGTGAATTTTCTCTTTTATTCATTTAAAGCTCGGGGTAGTGAAGACGGAGGACATCCCTGAAATGATCTACATATTTTCATGAGTGCGTATGTGAAAACAGCCTACATTTCCCGATGCTTTCCCCCAATTCTTCAGATTGCTGAGGAAGCTAAGCCAATCAAAGCCGTTCAAGCAGAGAGGGTATGACGTCACAATCAGTCAGACTTTGTGAGGATTGAGCGTCGGTGTGTGTGTGTGTTCCCCTTCTGCGA